CTGGATTGATGTAATAATGAGCACAATTGATTTTATACTTTAATAAGATGTTTATTAATTAATTAGCTGAAATTCCGTTTAAGTATATATTATGAAAAACAAAACTAAAATAAAATACATACAATAAGAATTTCATGTGATCTACCTAAATAAGCATGTATGCTATTTTAGCCTAATTTCAAATAATTTTAAAATAGAATTTGACTAGACATATTAAAAAAGATTATTTTAAAAATTCTAATTCAAAATTATATGAAGCATTTAGTAGTATAATTAAAACAAGCAGTATACATAATGAAAGATACTGCTAAAATAATAAACTGATGAAGCATTAAAACAATAAAATAATACAATAACCACAAAACATATATGTTAATTATGTAATGTATATTAGCCACAAAATGTTATAAGTATTATACACCGATCAAGCAAAACTTTATTTACGTAAAATACTACCGTATATCTCTACCACAGCCGAGACTGAGCACTCTTCTGTTACTAAAACAGCCAGGTATTAGTCTCGGGTTATTTCAATAGCAACATGAATGTGTTGAGAGTATCATGTGATGCGAACTCGTTCAGTGAATGGCTCACTCAATGAGTTCCATTATTCTCAAAACGTTCGTGTTATGACTCCCATGCCCAGAGACTAGCCACCCGGGACTCTCCGAGGCATGGACTCTAAAGATGTTCTGTGGTATTTGGGACTATGAAGTCAAATTTCTACAGTTTCTTGATGTAAGAGTGGCAGAATGGACTTTCCGTTGAAGAACCATTCCACAGTATTCAATGGGATCGAGATCTGGCGAATTTCTTGGTCAGGGCAACACACAAAATTCCTAATCATGTTTCTCAAGCCACTCCAGAACAATGTGCACCTTATGGCAAGATGCACTTCCTGTTAAAAAAAAAAAAAAAAAAAAAACACAGTTTCCATCAGGGAATGTCATGATCATGAAAGGGTGCATCTGGTCCGCAGCAATGTGTAGGTAGGTGCATCTTGTCAAAATGCGGTCTACATGAATGGTGGGAACAACCCTAAAGCATTACACCACCTCATTGGCTTGTTTTCGTCTTTGTTGTCAGTTCTTCTGATAAACGACACACATGGACCTTGCCATCCACCTTATGCAACAAAAATCGTGATTCGTCGGACCAGACAACTTTCTTTCACTAATCGAATATCCAAGATCGATACCTACTTCAGGCACTGTCAACGATGTATTAGTTAGTGCAGACATCTTGATGAATCGACAGCTGAGTAGCCTCAAGCGCAAGTTTTCTATACACTGCACGTTGAGACAACTGTAGTCTTCTCCATTAAATTCGTCTGTAATTAGTGTCACATTCTCCATTCTGTTGCCTTTTACAAGCCGGCCAGTCTCCGTTTCCCTAGAGTACCAATGAGGAGGATTGACCAATACCAGATTTCTCCCTTTTACCATTCTCGTTAGATAAAGCCCATCCGGGTTGCACGAGGTCGTCTCACAAGCCTCTCTGTTTTAGAAATACACCTTCCCAGCAGTCTCATCATCACAATTTGTCCTTTTACCTATCTCAGTTAGATCTTTTCTCTTGCTCATTTTGTCCACAAGTGACCAAGTGGATAATCCCCTTGGCTATCGGAGGGCACTTATTAGAATTAAGAAAATGCCGTTCAGAAATGAAAAATCCCGAGTTGTTAGATGTGGAAAATTAAATACTTATAGACTTTTCACACACTTTCGATTCCACGCAGGCAAGTGCTGTGTGTGGCAATAATGATATAGCGCGTCTATTTCGCGTTTTATCATTGTCGCAGTAATTACGTAAATATAATATATATATTTTTTTAAATTGTCGTATATTATTTTTGTAAGAATTAAATTTAGTTTATTATTTAAAATTTTTGCCAATAGATGGCGCTACGTGTAAATTATCAAATCTAATGTAAATAGAAATTCATTTACATATATTCAATAGATATTTTGGGGTGGGATGTACGACATTATCTAAGCCAGAAATATGTGAACGTAATAACTGCCGGAGTTTCGTAGCAATTGATCGAATGGCCTAAGAGTGTACAGCGAACAAACAAACAAACATCCTCATAAAATCTGTAAAAAAAAAAGGATACAATTATTGCAGAATTAAAACTATAAAACAGAATCATTCGGCGCAAAAGTGGTACTATTTTGGGGGAGGCTCCTGCATATTGTATGCTTAGGAGCGCCATATTTCTAACTGCACCATTGTCCAAGTTTAATTAAAAAAATAATCATGATAAATAAGATTTGAGATTATCCTTAAATAATAAAATAATTTTCTTTTATATCATACAAATATTTTCAAAATAAATTAATGTTTTATGTTATTTTAATCACCAACGTTTAAAAAGATAATGATACCAATATATTATTATCATCAATTTTAACTTATTTAATTCTAAAATAAATTGCCATGTCATATCGATAAACTATACTAATATAAGACCATAAATTCCTAGTTGGAATTTACCAGCTATTTCGCTTTATCGGTCTTTTCCAATGCAATAATGATCTCATTAAAACATCCGCACTTATCATATCTTACGCTCGACATACTCTATAAGCTCATTATTCATTTAGAAAAGAAACTTTCCTTTTTTACTGTTTTATTACATATTTACGAGAAGTGAAATTTAAAAGAATATTCTAATTTATGAAAGCATTAAACTAATATTGCACAATATATTCTTTTCGATTGTGAAGCAATCGGCAATTACTAAACAATAAATTTTATATTAAATTTACGGCTACTTGTTCTTACAAAACCAATTTATTTATTAATAATAAACTTATACTTGAAAAAGAATAATATATTTTGATGTATCTTACTTAAATATTAATTAAAATAAATAATCGTAGGGGGTAAGCGAGGCCATTTTAGAATCTTAAAGAAGCTTCCGAAATTTTTCATTTACAAAGTTATTCGTAACGTATTACATAATTAAAACTAGATCAAATTTTCGGATGATTAAAAAAAATATAAAAAAAGCCATTATATTAACAATGGATGACCGAGGTTAATGATATCTCTTGGAAAAATAAAAAATCGAATTTCTACCTAACTTCCGAGAGTTCACATTCTCGTAAGAATTATATTACACAGTCAACAATTATATAAAAATTAGACATAATAAGACATTTTTCTATTATTTTTCAATAGAATAAACTTTTTATATGGCTATTTTTAACTAAGGAAACAGTACAAAAACATTCAGTATAAAATATTACCGCATACGTTAGCCAATTAAAAGTTTATCTTACTACATTATAATATCGTTCGCCATTTTATTTTAGTACAGTATTATATAAACCTATATCATATTGTCCCATTTAATTTATTCTGAAGTTTGTTTTCTTATTTATTAAATTTAAAATATTAGGCCTTACGTATAGGTATAGGAAATAGGTTGGAAATAGCCTCACTTAACAAGATTTCTCTACATCTACGTGGACCACCCACAGGGCACACGTGTGGGAGATTCGTGTCTAATAGTCCAAAATGAAAACCCATAACAGGACCTCTATTACAGATCAAATTATGATCACAGAGGCGCGATTATGGAATGAAAATTTCTTTAAGCATACTTATATAATATTTTCTATTAAATTTCTTTCTAAATAAAGTATTTTTTCACAAATTTAGAATCTTATATAAGTGTTAAACAGGGTATTATTACCTTACAAAGTAATTTATATTCAAAATAACTTTATCAAACGATTCGTTATTTTTAATTCATTAGATTTTTATCACTTGACAATTATATTTTTCTTTCTGTCGATATGAATGAATTAAATTTAAACTATTTGTTGAATTTTAACCTCATAAATCGAAGTACAAGTAGCGAGATAAACAACCTTTTTCTCCATCTCATTAACAATTCTCAGCATCAACCATTAAATAATTTTAATTCAAAATTTAACGGATAAGGATTGATATAGATATTTGTTACGTTTATCATTAATTTGTAAACCTACGCCGAAGTAAAACGACACTTAGGCTAATTCAGTTTAACCTGTACAGTACCTTTACATATAAGAACTATCCATACTTAACCGCTTTTTAATTGCGATATGTTTAGTTTAATTTGTTGTGGTTATATTAAACATATTTATCGATCGAAAAGAGCAAGTCTCGAATTTTATTTCTCGGTTTAATTTGCCTAACAAATTACTCTCACGAGCTATCAAAATAAATGATTTATGTGACATATCGGCGAATACAACGTTACTAACCCGTACCTACGGATGTAAACCTGTACATAGTTATAGTTTAGTTTAAATATTTACAGCAATTGTATTAGAAAATCGTATAGTTTTTAGTATTCGGGTTACTTTATTTTACTTCTAAACAAACAATTTCCACAGTCATTTTACGGTACGTAAATACAAACTTTCATTATTTATTTCAGTTGGACCGTATTATATTAGATGAATTGTATCTAATCGACTTATAAATCAAGATCTTTTTAATTGATAAATCGACACTTCATACTTTAAATAAATTTCCAAGTATATAATTACGGCCTTAGATAAATATTTTAATAACAAATATGACATTGTCCCATATACTGACATTAATTAAATCTTCAAAAATGAAGAAATTTTGACCTATAAAATAAAGCAAGCAGAAACGAATTATGTTAACTTTTCAGCGGAAAAAGTTCATTTGTAAATTTTGCAATACAAATTGGGAATTTTACTTTAATTTTCCCCGCTAAAAGATCTTAAATAAGTACTATTTTTAATAAATATATTAACACTGGTATGTTGGTACTTCCATAGGTACTAAGATATTATTGATAGGACGGTCGATAAATAGTATATTATATATATATAATACATGCCTCACTTGCATATTATATATTATGTGGGAATTTTTGCACCGATATCGAAATAAAAAAAAAGGAGGAAGATCGGTTCGAGTCGACAAGCAAATTATGTTGCAACAAATATAGTTACGTGAATGAATCAAGTAGGAGTGTATATGAGAGGCAGGGTGAGAAGGGGAAATGTTTTGATTTCAAGCGGAACTACACATGCGTTACCATGACAACCCAAGGTTTTTCGGACGTATTTGAAACGAAAAACTCATTTCCATTACTTTATAAAACGGAGCGATGCATTAATCGGTACAATGTTCGATAGTAGTCATAGCTTTTATCTAAATAAATATCTTTTACCGACAGTTTACGATACTATTAGGCTGCTCTTTTGAAACTTTACAAAGAGATAGGGAGTGAATTGTGTTGTCAACATGATTTCCATTTCCATCTGAAAATGTTCATAATCCAATGGAGTATACCATTAATGTTATCGCAACTTATTATGTGCGATGTTACAACGGTTGCGAATTATACGGATGCGAAAAAATTCTCCTACCATTGGAAAATTAACAATTTCTCTAATAAATCGCGTACTGCCACTGAAAAGTCTTCGCAAGCTTCGTTTCTTAAGGGTATTCGTAAGTTCATTAATTTTATATTTTATTTAATTAATTTTTCATAGATTTAATATATAAAAGGTAATTTTTATCGTCGTAGCTTTATCTATATTTCTATAGAAACGTTAATATCTTCTTTTTTCGTCCTGTTATTTATCATATTTAGAGCTTAAAGGTCGCTTAACGTAATATTGATTTATTTTATTATATTAATTTTAAAATTATAACAATATTAAATAAGAATATTATAAAAATGTTGTTTAATTTGTTATATCTATGCAATTAATTTTGTAAATTTATTTTTAAAATTTAATTATTTATATTCTCTATTATNTATGGATCAATACACTGTCCTTCATTTTAATTTCTATAGATAATTATATATTGAATTAAAGTATAAATTAAATCATTATATAAAAGAATTAATAAATGTTGTACATGTAGAACAGAAAAATTACTTTAAAAATAACTTATTTAACATAAAAATATTTTTTAAATATTATATATGTGTGATATATTAATGGATATTTATATTTTTTTTTTAGCTTTTGAATTTAACTGTACTGTAAAATCAGACTGTGAAAATATTGATAGGAATATGATTTGCTTTAAGAATACATGTTATTGTGGACAAAATTATATCTACATTTACAGTAATGAGAAAAGATGTTTCAAAAAAGGTAAAGCATTATTCTAATATGTTACTTTTTGGCTTATAGGTGCTATTAAATTATTTTTTTCTTTCTTATAATGGACTAATTGCTTTTGGATTCTGAAGACAGACAGAGAACATCCAAAAGTCTTAGTCTGGTGTGCCGTAAGAGATGGCACAAATTATTACGAAAATATATTTTAAAAATGAGAAGAAACTATGTACAAAGACTCATTACATCCATGATAAAATAACAGCCAGGTTAGACCTATAGGGCAGCAGTTACAGTGATGTATTATAATTTCACAGGGCCCAGGTGAATTTGAATTAAGGGGGGTCTCATGTACAGTGCTGACTTTAGACATTTTTCTTCAAAGGAATTTTTTTGGGGGAAATATTTTCTTATAAAAGATTAGTTTGGAGTACCCTGTTGGCAGGAGCCCTGGGCAATTGTCCTTTTTTTGTAGGTTAACACACTACTGAACAGTTATTATTGTACACAGCTATTTATAATTTAATACATATTTTAATATATTTTTAATTTTGTACACAAAGTGCACCAAATAGTTTTCATGCTTTACAGTGTGTCAAGAACCAAATAAGTTTGGGAACCACTGGCTTAGTCGTTATAGGAAAGAAATAATAATCTAATAACTCCTGTAAACAGAAAAGTAATATTTTATTTATGATGCAGAGTTAATTTTTTATTTTAATAGATTTTTTTAAAAGTTAAATAACTTTTACTAGTGAATAAATACATTTATTTATTTATTAAATTAGCAAAAATATATGAAGAATGTGTATATAATTTTCAATGTTCTTCCACAATGCATAATACATTATGCAGAAATGAAAAATGCCAATGCATGTATGGTTATATGTTTAATGGAGTAGCATGCACCATAAGAAGTAAGAAATGTGTTCTTTTTATATTTAAACTGTTATTATTCAAAAATATGTATGTATATATATATAAACTTACTTTTTGAAAAAGGATCCAAATCTAAAGGTGAAGAAATATACACTGCTGCTCTAGTAGCAGTTTCTTGCATCATGGTGGCAGTCACCTGCATTCTTATAGTATGCGTTGTAAAAAAGTAAGTGAATTTTAATATATTTTTATTCATAAAACTATTATGTTTATTTAATTAAAATTAAAAATAATTAAAACCAGATCTTCACAATTGAGGAATTATCAGCATAGAAATTCTAGAAGTGGTCAGCCCAATGATGTTTTCACTATAGCAGATGAGATTGCTGCTGTCAGAGCAGCCGATAAACCTCCAACGTACGAAGAAGTAATGAGGAACGAAGAAATGGTAATGAATCTATTCTTTCAATAAAAATTATATTTCTTAAATGATAATTTTAATCCAAGCCAATAGTTCAATATAAAAATATGCAAATAATTTCTGATTATAACCGATCACTATTGGATGGTGAATAAAGATATATAAGGATAGAAAAATTACAATTAAAATTAGCATTAATGATTATCCTAACCAATGATTTCTAATGACTTTAACTAAAAGTGATATTTAGTTCAGTGAACTATCGATGATTATCACTGTCTTAATTCTATTATTTGTGGCATCAATTTTAATATTTCGGTTGTCACAAATCATGTTGAATTCCAGTTGAGAAGTAACAGAAATAACATTGGATGTATTAGGATAATCTCTGAAGTTAATAACAATGATTATCATTAATATAAAATTATATAAAATGTAAATTAGCTAACACTATGTAGAAAAAGGCAAAAACAAATCATTTCTATGATACAAGGAAATGAACAAGATTAGAGTAAATTGATACTAGAAATATCTTCCTTGAGCTAATGAGTCACTTGATACTTGCAGAAAAAAGCTGTAAACATTACTGAATATAGCTAAGTTTAATTTGCACTGTCATTAAATGACAATGTAAATAAAAACTGTAAAGATATTTTATCATGATGATTCAAGCACTAGAAAACACTACATAACAGTGCATATCATTAGAATTCAAAACTTGTAGAGTGTTATACAAATGAAAAATAATAAAAATGGAAAGGGAAAAATAGAAATGTTCAAAGTAAATAAACTGAGATGTAATATAAGAAATCACAATTTCAAATATTTGAATAATGTTTTCTGAAAACAGTTCAGGAAATGATGATGATATTATTCTAAGATGAAGAAATGCTTCATTTTTTTAATTATAAATTAATGAATGATATGACTATTTCTATCAGGTTACATTGATATTTTGTTAACATTTCTATTATTTGATCATGTCTGTTACAAATACTAAAGAAATATGTCATTGAAAATTTCTATGAAACATTGAAAGTAGCAAATAATTTCACATCAAACAAGTTTTGTTTATCATTTATGATACTTCTAGTTAAATAAAAGTTGATATCAGTATAAACTGATTTCAAAATTCTTAATAAAACAAAACAGAATAAACTTGGTGAAGTTTAACTCATGTAATAAAAATAAATATGAGGAAGACAACCAGATGGCCAAAGCAATTAAGGTGTTAGCCTACTACACTAGGAACCCAGGATCAAATCAGGGCAAATAATTCTCCAGGAATTTTTTCATGGGTGGTCTTTCTTAAATACATCAGGTCCCATCTCTCATCATTTGCTCGCCTCCTTTGTGGGACTGGCCAATCCCATGATGGATATGATTAAAAAGGCTCTTTTGGTGGGTAGAAAGAGAAAAAAATGGTACAGGGAAAAAATAAGAGGAAACTTCATCTAGAATTTCAAAACATTCATAAGATTATTATAGAAAAAATGGGATTTACTAAACACAAATATGATTCAAAAACAAAAACATTCATTAATAATATACAGAACAAACACAGATTTTACCCATGCTCTACTTTCTTTTGTTGAAAACACATTAAGAACATATTTATTTATAGTTTTAGATGTGTTTTGTTCCTTGCCCATTAAGAATAGACAGGAGGAAATGATGATAATCAAAATTCAATATTGCTGAATCTACTTTTTTTTTTATCTGCTTTTAAAATAATTACTATTATTTTATCATCACTACTAGTAAATCAAAAATTATCAACTGATCTACAAAAGTTTAGAAAAGATAAATCATTAGGTACAACTGGAAAAAAAATTAGCACTATTCAATTATCTAGTCATCTGTATCACTAATAAAATTTATAAGGAAAACAAATAGATTTACATTTTAAAATGCATCTTGACAAGTATTATAATTTTTCTTTTTATACAAATACTGTTAGTAATTTATGACAGTATTAAAAAAAATAATTTTATTTTATTTATCAGAAAAAGTCAACCTATATACTAGAGCTCTTTCAAACTTTCATATTTTTTCAATAATATGTATTAATTGAATACTTGTATTCTTTTAAAATTGTTTCATCTCATGAATTTTTGTCTATTGTTCTTTGTTAAATTTATTTTTAACTTATTTTTTCTATAAGCTTTCAAATTATATTGTCTTATTTATAGCCAATTACATTATTTCTTATTAAAAACTCATTAAATCTTACATTCTTAATATATGTATTGAAGCTTTAACATCAATATGCTTTGATATGAGTTAATTTAGTTTTACTTTCTGGTTGTTGTGTATACATAACAAGAGAAAGTATTGGAATTGTGCCAAATTTGACCCTCAGTTTTTTGCAAATTCCACATTTTGAGACACCTGAACCAAAATAAAGGAGAGGATAAAAATTCTGTGTGTGTGTATTTTGTTTAATATCTCAGAATTGGGTAATGAAGAAGAAATGAAATTTTGCATGATAGCTTGTGTATAAAGAGCATTAAAGCTATTAAACTTTGGTAGTTAAAAGTCAAAAGGGTGGGTCAAGAAGAGAGATAAAGGGAGTTTATGTATTATATCTTAAGTGGGGGTTGGACTTAATGAAGATTTTGTGTTATTAGAATTTACATAAAACTCATCTCTATCACATACAATTTTATTCTTTGTAATTAATAATATAAAAGTTATTTTCTAAATAAAATCTTCTAACAGCCAGGAAACTTACACAACTCCCTGCTGGATTTTTATTAAATCTAATTGTTTACAAAAAAAAAAAAAAGACTAATGAGAAAATTAATTTAAATAATTATTTAAGATATTCTTGATTTTGTTATTTTTGAAAAATAATATATTGTTAATTCATTAAATAATCATTTGCAATTCAATTTTTTTCATATAACTTAAAAAAATGAAATCAGTAATAAATCATTTTTTTGTAACAAACAGTTAGAGTATTTTTCAAAAATTATGGAATGATCTTTCAATTATTATAAAAGTAATTGCAATAATGTAAAATATTCTGTATCAATATGTACTTAAATTTAATATTCTATTTTAAACATTATATATATTTATAATGTTTGAAACATCAAAGTAACAAAATAGTTGCATAAAATATAGTGTAATTTTTATCATTTTGTATTTAAATAAGAAAATTAATGTTAAATTTCAAGTTGCTTTTCTTAGGATAAAAACATTGAAAACTCAACTGCTTTCAAATTTTATAGCTCAAGAAAAAACACCAGATTATCATTAATAGCTATTAGTAGTAAATTGGCATCTTTCAAACTTGATTTTCTTCTTGTTTATTCCTAGCAATGACTAAATCTTGAAAGTGGTTGAATTCTATCAGTTCTTGCTTTAAGAAAATCAGTTTAAATTGACATTTAAGGAGCTTCCTTAACATGAGACAAAATTAGACTTTCAATATTTAACTCATGTTTGTCTATTATATTTGTACACAAATACAGTTTAGAAAGTACAAAGTTACATAAATATGATAACTGATATTTTGATCATTTTTAGATAACGTATCATTTAAGCCAAACCAGACATAGTTTTGTAGTTTATGAATAATTTAAAGTAATTGTTTAATTTACATTTTTAATATTGTATAAATATTTTATTTTACTGTATTCATATAAAGTATATATTTAATATTACAGTTTACAATATAAGACACTTATTTGCAACATAAAATATTACAAAATATCATTTCTATATAATATTATGATTAAAATTTCAGCCCAACTGATATAACATTGTGTAGAACAATATGTCATAATTACTTTTGCTGTTGGTTGAATTTATACTAGCATAATTATAAACATTTAAGCATTATGTGTAAAAAATCAAATAACCATTAAACTGAAAATTTTGTAATTTTTTTTAATTATGCAAAGAAAACTCAGTGAAAAAATTGACAGTTTATGATGTATATCATGGTACTATTTAACAAGAAAATTATCTAAATATTATGGTAAAAGATTTCATATAAAAATTTCAATTTGGGCAATAAAGAACGGTTGATAAAAATCCATTACATTATTTAACAAAACAGCAAAATGATCAAAAAACTGGAAATTATCCATGTTACTTAATACAACATTAAAAAAGTATAAATTGCTTTAACATGGTTAGATATTAAAGAAATTGAAAGAAATTTACTATATAAAATTTCTAGCTTACAGTAAATTATTAAAACACAATAAAAATATTTCTTTTTTAAAGATACTGATAAGCCTAAAAAGTGTGGTCTGTTTATAACAATGTTAAATAAGAAAAATATAGTATAAATGAGCAGTTATTTATTGTGACATCATCACAATGCTGGGATGCAATTTTTAATTTAAAATATATTCTCTTCACCTCAAATTAGTACTGTAGAGTCTTGCCCTTGTATATCATACTTTTCCTTTAACAATAGAGTCATGCCAGTTATCTATTAACTGCTTTCAGGGGAAAAGTTTTGAATTGAACTGAGGTGACTTATGATTTGTATCAAAAGTTCATATACAGGTAATTAGGCCACCCTGCCCAAGGTTTTCATATCTGATCTTGTCTTTCATCTATCTCAGCGATTCCCAACCTGTGGTACGTGTACCCCTAGGGATACGCAATAGGTTGTTTAGGGGTACAGAAAAAAGTTAGTTATTATGGCAGAAAGAATAATATATTATGTATCACAAACTAATAGTATTAAAAAATTATTAGGTAAAAAATGTTCCTTGCAACAATCACAACTTTATTATGTATTTTTTCATTTAGTTTTTTTTCTTTAATTTAAAGTTACAATATATAAAATAACAATACAGGTACATAAATTTCTTAAATGAGGGGCACAATCTAGAGATATGACATGTCACGGGGTACGATAATGAAAAAAGGTTGGGAACTACTGATCTATCTAACTCCGTTAAGATTAAGATTAAGGAAAGACGGATGGATGGACAACATTGGGAATTTATAGGTCTACAATTTTTTCAAATTGCAGCACAATAACTAGTAAATGTATACAAGAGGAACTAATATCACAATGTTATTACAAATATATTTTTCCAGAACCAGTTTTTGGATCCTTTTAGATCATTCTTATCTTTGCAAAGCAGTATAAATTGATCTAGTTCAATTAAAATATCTTCATTTATCCATCTTATTTTCTCCAATATCTGGAAAACTATCTCAATGGAAAAAGTACCAAAAATGTGGAAACCAAAATGCCAAAAGTTCTGTGAAGGAAAGAAAAAGTAAAAGAGAAAAAGGAATAAATGGAGTGAGGAAAATGAACAGCCTTTTTTTACAACTTCAATGTTAATAAGCTGATGAATGGAAAAGTGTTATAGGAAGTGATTCATATTTTATTTGATGATTCTTTTATAAATCATATAAATAATTATATAAGTATAAATCATTTACATAACTGTAAAAATCTGTTTTTACATTCAAATTAATTTTATATGAATTTTATCTCAATGAATTTCTACACAACTTATTACATTTTAAATAATTGTATATTTATCAACAAAGGCAATATTACTGCTCTACTGATAAATCAGTCCCATTTTAAATGTAATAATATGTCAAGATTGTATTTTCATTCGAATATATGTATATATCTGAAGATATAAACTTTATCATAACTGTAAAAAAGAATTAACATTTATCATTTTATTTTTTTAAACCATGTAAATAAACCCTTATCTCTTTATTGTGCTCTAGTTTCATTACCTTAATTACATCAGATCATACACAATTAAAAATTAAAACTTATCTTCACAAATTCACTTGATCAACACAGAAAGATAAATTATTTTAAAAATTCTCTGTTTAATAAAAAAGATTATTATTTAAATAATAATTATTTATTTTGTTTATCACATTAATAAATAATTTCTTAATTACAGATGTATGGAGTGCCGCCACCTGATTATCCTACTTCATCAACGCTTCCTCATTTTGATTCTACCATTTTCTTACCAGGACCATCACATCTAAATACTTTACTAACAAATACTATAGAAAATGAAATAGAAAATATAAATAATGAAACATCAGCTAATTTTCATCAATATCCATCACTTTCTTGCAGTGAAGACAATAATCAACTAAATATAAATCATTGTTCTAGTGAAAAAGATTCAGAAATTAAAACTGATAACGAAATTACTATTGTTATAAACCAACCAAATACTGATGTAAATACAAGACAATCCGAGCAAACTAATTCTACTTCGAGAGAGGGATCATCTGAAGCTTATACAAATTTAGCATTTGAAACTGATATTTAAATTAATTTTAGTGCCTTATATAAATCAATTATACATATATCAAAATAAAGTAACTCTTCAACAGCAAATTTATTTGTAAAACTATTTATTATGATTTATTTATTGTAAATTTTTATGCAACACTTAAAATAAAACACAATTTGTTATAGTTTAAAATGAAATAATCAGATATTTATGGGAAAAATCTGAGAATTAAGCTAACTAGCTGCATGTGCTTGGTATTGCTTAGGCTTTTTAAAGGGTAGGAGATTGGTGAGGTTGAGTTGAGAGAGGGTGATAAAAACAATGATCTTAGTAACTGAAATGTATATTTATTGACCTCAGTATTTACTAACCAAATATCTTACTCAGCTTCTTAAATAATAAATTGCCAAACACAGTATTTACAATAATGAAACTGCAAAACAAAAAAAAATTGCACCTAACGTTAACAGGATGGCACCCCAAGTGTCCCATAGACTTAACATTGTACCTTTGTCACTTTGCCACACCTGAACCATTGCACCTTACTCACATCTCTCTTCAGTGGCATCATCTACAGAATAAGAGCTTTAATTTGATACCCAAACTACATTTTTGGCCCCAGCAGTTTACTCATATTAAGCCAGACAAATTAAAACCATCNGCGTTGAATTTTCATCGATGTTAAGCCTAACAAAAATTTTTTTAAAATAATAATCATCGCTATTGTATCGTTAAAAATTAGAAAATTAAGCCTCATTTAAATACTGGCTCCCTTTCATAATCGAGCCATGTTGCCAGCTAAAACACGTAAAAATACTATTAAAGTAGCCAAGACATAGCCAAATATTGTAGCGCCACATCACTAGCGGACATTTGAATTTGCCGACTAGAACAGTCGGTTAACCGATGTGACGGTTAATCAAAGGTTGGATAATCGATGCTCTACTGTACTACAATTATAAAATAATTATGGTTACACAGTATCCAGAAGAGGATATTTTTAAACTTTTTCTCTATAAAAAGAGGATATGTTTTCAATGTTTGGTAAGAAAGTAATAATAAATAATAGTAATTATTACAGAAGGTAATGTAAATCACTGGTTCTCCAAATTATTTAATCTGAAAATTGTCTCCACTTCAACTGAGTCACAGATAAAATGCAAACCACATATACTCCTCCCCTTCTTTATCCTGTAAATATTATCTTAGATGCATGCCAAAAATTTTTCTACCTGTAACCTTCTGTAAGAGATGTTTGATGCATAAAAATACTCTTTCCTCTGGCTAAACAACTTAAAATTGTACATAAAAAATGACTAGGTCAGTCTGCAAACTACCTGATACATGCTTGTGAATCACCAGTGATTCATAGACCATACTTTGAGAACTACTGACATCCATCTCTATGCAGAGGGAATGTAAACAAACTTAAAATAGAAAATCTTTCAAATCAAAAGTTAGTTTTATTAATATATATATTTTAAAATAAATTGATATTTAAGTTTGATATAATCATATTGTTTAGAATAATATATCTTTTAAAATTAAAGATATTAAAAAAATATTTCTTTGCTATGCTTATCATCAAACAATTTTAAGTAATTCATTAAATCTAATGTTTTATATTGCTTTGAAGATTGAAATAAAAAAATTTATTAAAATTTGCAGATAAAAACAAATATACAGGTCATCTATAGATAAAATATTTATTTAAAAGACTCACACTTAAATATAGCTACCATATATAATTTCAACATTTCAATATGAAGACTTTCTTAGAAGAAATATTCAAGGCAAGTTCTTATTCCAGACAAGAAACTCCATCAACTAATGGAAGTTGTATTCATGAAAGTTTTATATGCTAAAACATGCCTTTAGAAAAAATTTTTTACAATCAACATATATGTAATAATACTAATATACAATATTCAAGTATACATATTTATATAAATAAAGAAAAGGTATATATCAAATAAAATTATAAATCTGATGAATACTTGAACAATACAACATAAATTTTTATCAAGAAATATGCTGATAAATTTATAATTTTTTCAAAAATTTTTACATGATTAAAATGTAAATTTAAGTTGAAATCCTTTGTACCAGATGTGAACAAAATAAGAATTCATTGTATCTAGCTGCACATTATTATTAAAAGATTGGTTATTATAAATTAATTTTAAATTTTAATTTTATATTTAATTTTTAATTATAGCTTAATTTCATATAGTAAAGGCTATAGGGATTAGCACATCAGACATTTTCTTGTTAAATTTCCTTTAAAATTTTGTGTATTTTATTAAAAAGTATTTATTACAAATATTTTAATTTTATATTATTTGCAAATAGATGAATTTATAACTTTATCTTTAAACCTTTTAATCAAATTAACTATCTTACAAAAATTAAGTTTAAAATAATAGCTTCATGTTTTTCATATCAATTATATTCAAGCTTAATTAACATATTAAATAAAATACAAATAATGATATATGCAAAAAAAGTAAATTTAACAAGAAGAAGCTGATGTGAAATTTAACAAAACATGCTGTATGACTATTAATATCTAAAGATATTAGATGTTTTATCAGTATTATGAGATTAAATTATATGAGAATATAATAAAAATGTCCAACATCAAAATACATAAAAAAGTTAAAAACCATAATAAACTGAGTCATACAGACTTTTTTATAGAAAATAATGAATTAAGACAATTATTAATACTGCTTTTGCTATTAATTATTAATGTATAAAGCTATATAAAAATTATACTAAAAATTCTGCTTTCCTGTTGTAAATTATGCCATATACTGTCTTTCTTTTTTACTCATAATTTTTTCTAGTAATTTGTCCAATGTATTCCTTCAAGATAATTATAACAATATTTCAAATTTAAATATATCTTATATTATAATGAACAATTAGTTGGCAGTGCCATTAAAAATTCACAATAATTCACATTAGCATCCTTCATACAAAACAGACTGAATATAAAATTTGATAACAGTAAACTGTCAATGATTAACTTTGAATAACAAATGTTTTACATTATAAACATTCACACATTTACACTCAAGTCAATATATAACAATTCAAGTAGATGATGAAAATGATATAATTTGTAAAATTTTAGTAAATATTCATGAATATACAATACACTTTGTAAATACAAAAATGAAAAAAATCTGTTGTAAAAAAACATAGTTGGAAGAGCAATTTTAAAACATGTTTTAAAAATTCTATTTTTAAAACATAGATTGATTCAATATAAACAACAAAATAGCTACTTTCCAATTTGACACTAAACATGTATTTTAATTGGACATCTAACCAATACTGTATACAATAATATTCTCATACAGACAATAATGAAATATTTATAATATACAAGAAAATAAACAAAAATATATGGACAAAACGTTACACTTTGACTATGCAAGTGACTGAATTGTTGACTATCTTGTTATTTCCTTCTGTTCAATAATACTGTAATAATCAGGTGGAAGAGAACCAGGATTATTAGCTGTAAATAAAAAAAATATACATATTTGTTGTTGTTATTATTTCTTTATATTTTACATAAATAAATTAAATAAATGAAATCTGATAATAATAATTCATAACTCATTATTCATCAATGATTATCAGCTTCAATATTTTAAATACGTAAATTTTATATTAAAAGTGAAATTATAAGACTAGAATAATTTCTATTCTTCTGTATAACAAAAAATGATTTTCAAATGTAATTATCCAATAATTTCAATTTACTCACCAAGATGTTAAACATTTTTGAAATCTGTCATATCTTAAATCCTGTATGTTATTTCATTGTATTATAGATTTAAAAAGTAGCTTGACATTACATAATTTATGAAAAATAATTTTAAATATAGAATATACGGTGTTTTTTTTTTTATTAATTTGTCTTCAAATACTGATAAGATATCTGACTTTAGTGGATATTTTCACTTAGAGGACAAAATTTCCAGTTCTAGCATAGTAACAGTACTATTGACATACTTTTATCTACCTAACCTAACCTAACCTAGTGGATACTACTTTCTTCAAACAATGGACTAAAATTTCATACCATTCCTATTTTCTAAAATCTCTATTAAGAAGACAGTACAGCATATTAAATGTTTCCCGTGAATATAATTTACAAAACATCACCATTATGTTCAGTGCTATCATTTCATAGAATTTTTGTCTTAAACATGATAAACAAAGTTGCCATGGTTCTATTTTTAGATAATAGTCTGATATTCTTTGTATCAAATATAAGCAGATTGATACTGGCATTTCTTCCATGCATAATGGAAGGGAAGCATAAAGAAGCAAGAATTTTAAAGAATAAAAAAAAAACAGAAGCAAAATGAATCATATGTTTGAAAAATTGGCAAACATCCTGTTTGGAAAACCTAGATAGCNAATGTTTGAAACATCAAAGTAACAAAATAGTTGCATAAAATATAGTGTAATTTTTATCATTTTGTATTTAAATAAGAAAATTAATGTTAAATTTCAAGTTGCTTTTCTTAGGATAAAAACATTGAAAACTCAACTGCTTTCAAATTTTATAGCTCAAGAAAAAACACCAGATTATCATTAATAGCTATTAGTAGTAAATTGGCATCTTTCAAACTTGATTTTCTTCTTGTTTATTCCTAGCAATGACTAAATCTTGAAAGTGGTTGAATTCTATCAGTTCTTGCTTTAAGAAAATCAGTTTAAATTGACATTTAAGGAGCTTCCTTAACATGAGACAAAATTAGACTTTCAATATTTAACTCATGTTTGTCTATTATATTTGTACACAAATACAGTTTAGAAAGTACAAAGTTACATAAATATGATAACTGATATTTTGATCATTTTTAGATAACGTATCATTTAAGCCAAACCAGACATAGTTTTGTAGTTTATGAATAATTTAAAGTAATTGTTTAATTTACATTTTTAATATTGTATAAATATTTTATTTTACTGTATTCATATAAAGTATATATTTAATATTACAGTTTACAATATAAGACACTTATTTGCAACATAAAATATTACAAAATATCATTTCTATATAATATTATGATTAAAATTTCAGCCCAACTGATATAACATTGTGTAGAACAATATGTCATAATTACTTTTGCTGTTGGTTGAATTTATACTAGCATAATTATAAACATTTAAGCATTATGTGTAAAAAATCAAATAACCATTAAACTGAAAATTTTGTAATTTTTTTTAATTATGCAAAGAAAACTCAGTGAAAAAATTGACAGTTTATGATGTATATCATGGTACTATTTAACAAGAAAATTATCTAAATATTATGGTAAAAGATTTCATATAAAAATTTCAATTTGGGCAATAAA